GGGAGGCGGGTGCGGAATGGAGGGGAAGGCGGAGAAAGTGGGTGGTCCTACTGCTACGTGGTGAAGGCCCTTAATTCCGCGGCCCCGACACAATGCGACAGTCCGGCGTGTGCTCTGGGCATTCGTAAACTCCGAAGCGATGAAATCTGTGACCAACTTCAAGAGCTGCTTGGCGGCTGGCCTGCTGCAGGACCAAGTAGCCATCGTCACCGGCGGGGGCACCGGTATCGGCAAGGCCATCGCGACCGAGCTCCTGCACCTAGGTGCGTGAGCAGGCCCCTGGGCCAGAGTCTTTAGAGCGTGGGGTTGGTGGAGACACCAGCTGGCAGGACCCGGGGTCTGGGTAAGGGTCGCTAGGAGGGGTTGGAAGAACGTGGAAGTTGCAAAGTCAAGGATAGGTGGAGGAGGGCGAAATTCAAACCTCGAAGGGGAAAGAAGAGATTTTTCCGAGAAGCACTGGTAGATAAGCTCCTAGTTGTAAACTAATGGGAAAACACTGCAGACAAGGATACTGTGCCCGAAGTATGAAATACAAAGATGCCCGTAGAAATAGACTATGGAATATATTGTGTATTTAAAAATAAGCAGTTTTTCATATGGTCTACTCAGAGAACTGCAAACGGGAAGACTGGAAAAGGTTGTCACATATAAAGATTAATCTCATCGAATCTCCTATTCATTCGTTTTCTTGGGTGAAGGAAGGAGTTTGTCAACACATTAAGGGGGAAAGAGACCACAAAAGAAGGAAACAGAAGTTTACCTATAATTTAAAGGCCTGGAGTGGGGGTGAGGGGAGATATTTACAATATGAAACAGATTAGAAGCTGAAACAGGTTAGAAGCTCTCACAAATAAATAAGGAAAAGATCCAACACTCTTAGAAAATTAGGCTAATGATATGAATACGTGTTCCAAATAGACAATAGGTATGTGAGAAGATAATTTTATTGGTAGTAAATGCAAGGTGAAATACTAAGATGCCATTGTTTTTCTAACAAAATTTCAAATATGGGAAAAATAAAAATCTTGAGGAGATGAGAAGGCAGGCATGAATGTAAATTATTTCAAATTTTCTGGGAAGCAGTTTAGAATAAAAGATCCCATGCTGTTAACCATAATCATGACCTGTATGACCTCGTAATTTATTTCTCAGGAATTTACTGTAAAAGGGATGTAGAAACAAGTACAGATTTATATTCAAGAATAATATTGAGTAGAGAAAAACTGGAAATTGCCTAAATATCCTTTATTGAGAAAATAGTTAAACTAATAAGCAATGAAATGTTATGCTGCAATTTAAACACCTTGCCACAGGAGACTTGTTGCAAAAAAATGCATAATATATGATTGAAAAAATTAGGGTTCTAAACAAAATATAGCATTCCAATTAGATTGTTAATTAAAATTACTTATGCAGACAAAAGATCGGAAGGAAGTGTATAACATTTTTAACAGCATCTCTTTCACTGGAAGTAATTTCAGTTATGAAGGCTATTATTTAAGATAATAGTAAATTAATATAAAAGTGAATATTGTTTTAATTTTTCATGAACATGTAAATTGCCCTTACTTTGTGCTTTTAATGCCTGGAAGATAGTATAACTAAAATAACCTGTAAGTTTTGAAAAGTGTTGAAAAATGAAAATACATATCTCTTCAATGAGAAAAAAATGGGAAATTATCATTTTCCAGTCTGGTCCCATCTCTTCACAATATAGCCCATTTCCACCATCAGTCTCTTATCCTCGCTAGGAAAATTCCCAAAACCAGAGTTTTTATGTAAATGTCATAGATTAGGTTTAACAGGAGACTTCGCTTTATGAAATTTTAACATACTTGAACTTTCTTCCAGTTTAGTCTTACACATTAGCCAAATGCTTAATGCCACACTGGGGCAGATGGCCAACTTTATTTTCATCAGGAGAGGCTTGTAATGTGAAGCCTCCTTGGTATCTTATAATCCTTGGGAAGCCATGAATTATTTCAGTGAAAACAAGGAAACATTGCCCTAGAAAAATACTTCACATATTTTTAAAAAATGCATAGGTAATATTTTTTGTAATATTGTATTTGAAGTGCATTTCTTTTAGTGGGAGAATATACAAATTATTTCTACTATGACTTCCTCAGCTTTGTTTAATGCCAAAATTAATGGCAACTTTTTCTTAAAGTTGTTACAGAAATCCGAGTTGGGCAAATGAAATAAAATGTTGGCCAATTCTGTTTCTAGGGAGAGGGCTATTAGTTTTGGTGTGAATTGTAAATTGAATTTGAAGCATGCTTTTAAAAATGATAATGGGTGTGTTCTCTTTGCATCCAAATGATTTTGAGTGCTCCTTTTTCTGGGAAAATGCTGACAGTCCTAGCTCTCAAGAGTAGGGTGCAGTAAGAGGTGCTGGAGCTCTGTTCTTGTGATTTGACAGAGGCTGTTAGCAGAAGCCTTGATTCCATTCAGGAATGCGTAAAACCATTCAAATTGAATTCATTTTCCTCTCCTTTCTTTGTCTTCAAGTTAGCTATTCATTCTGTGACTATAGCAGAAGTTTGGAAGAGTGGACAAAGTGAAAATAGAAAAGGCAAGTGGAAATGGAGAGTCAAGACAGCATTTTTCTTGTTCTTGTCACTAGGCTCATTCTAGCACCAGGTGCTAGAAGGTGCTTTACACATGCAATACTTAATAACATATAGTTCTTAAATGAGTTGAGTGTTCAAAGGAATCAGTGTCTGCCCAAGCAGGAAAACAACATGTTTGACTCCAAATACCTCTGATGTTGGAATAATTCTTTATCCACAAATTACTTCTAGATTTTACTCTAATCAATTTATAAGCTTTCTGAATTTCTCTAGCAATTCAGATAAACAGCAACAAAAAGTTTATCCAAGCCATTTAGCATAAAGATTAGGAGAAAGGTTTTATCTAATAATTTTCTAAATTATTATAAGGTAATAGAAGAAGATCGCAATATATTCAAATAGTGGAGAAGTATGTGAAAGAGAGAAAAGTTTCCTATTCTGCCCTCTCCTAAAGTTTCCTACATCCCCTCCCTGGAAATTTTCTATAAATCTATTAGCGTGCACACATAGCCACACTTCTATGTATTTTGTTATTTACAAAACCAGGACCGCTGTGTTCTTACTGCTCAGATATATGCTAGCTCATATAGAATATCATTCTTTCCTAAGGTATTTAGTGTTCCATTCTATGGATATGTAATGATTTATTTAACCATTCAGCTATTGGAAATTGAGGCTTCTAGTGTTTGAGCAGCTTTGAGGCACTCTTTGTAACACATTTGAAACCTCATTTAAGTTTGTATGTATGTCCCTGTCTTCTCAGTTAATTAAATTAAATTAGGTTAAAAGCAGTTAAAGAGTCTTTTAATGTTGTAGTCCCACCCAGCTCAACTTGTGTTAGATAATTCACCCCCCTGAAGGCTTCAGGGTTCAGATAGTAATCAGTGATAACTTAGTGGACTTCTAAATAGATAATGCATCTGAACAATTTTGTTTTTGTCTTTACCTTACTTCATATTAGAGGCCTTAGACAAAGACATATTAATCACCTTCATATTCCTGGGGATTGCTTTATTTATTTTTTCTGAGACTTAATTTTTTTCATATGGATTTAGAAAGAGGTGTAGAGTCTCTGTCCTATTCATCTTGGAAGGACAGCGCAAATGATACCCAGCTGCAGGCAGGAAGATCTAAGAAATAAGGGGTTCATTCAGTGGTGGTAGCTTGTTCAAAGATGCTTATTTCTTTCCACTTCACTGATCAAATTTGCTAATCCTAACTCGGAGAAGCCTGGCTAGGATTCTGGCTGTATTTTAATTCTCTACTTTCCAAAGAGTAGAAGACACTTCTGGAAACTAAAGGAGGAAGGAATAAGATAACTCCCA